CCCACAACCTCTAGAACGCGAGGCAAATGGCTGAGCCACTTCGCAGAGATGGCACTATATATGTGATACACCTTAAATCAGGAAAGGGACCTACTGCTTAATACCATGTATTTCTGTTCTGAAAACTCGACAAAATAATTCAGGTGTAAACGAAAGGTCATACTCTTGGTAGTGTAACAGAGAAAACCAGTTCAACTGATTGTTTCTTCAGTTTTCAACAGTTTTCAATTATCTTTCAGTGTGCCGCCCGTACTTGTTGAAGCCGTTAATGAATTACAAATATACAACTTGCCAGATCGTTTAAAAGACGAAATCTCTGGCGAATACTATTTTCAAAGAAGATTCTGTCGCGCATGGAGCGAGCGAAGAGTTCATTGCCGTCATTAGCGTTTACGCTTAACATGCAAATTACCATTTCTTGTGAAGAACAACTGATTACTGATTTTTATTCATGTTGGGGAGGGACGCCTGAGAAAAGGTTGTTTATGGGGCAATTAGTGCCAGGATACAACATAAAATAACAAACTCCACTCAAGTCATAAATGCCGGAAACAAACTGATGATTCATCTAATGGTTTCGTCGAAGCCGACAGATCGACTTTATTCAGCTGGGTTTTATCACACATGACTGGGTCTTTCTTTTCATAACGCCTAGCTCCCTAACCAGAGGATCACACAAAGGACGAACTCCATAGCTCCAGCATCGATTCCTTCAAGGATCTCTGTAAAAATTACCCTTATTAACTGAACGACGCAATCCATGAAATGATCACATGATTTTCAGAGCGTAAAGTGAACTACTTCACTTTTGGAGGCCCCCCCCCCCCCCCCCCCATTTCCACCTCCTTTCCTTCATTATAGTCTGTTATCCTATCCAACATTTTTCTCAAATTGGAACAGAAGACCCCAAACCAGTGGTTCTCAACCTTTCTAATGCCGCGACCCTTTACTACAGTTCCTTATGTTGTGGTGACCCCCAAACATAATTTTTGCGTTGCCACTTCATAAATTCAGTAAATTTGTGTTTTTCGACCGTATAAGCCGACCCTTGCATAAGGGTCGTTCGATCCCCAAAAGGGGTCGCAATCCACAGGCTGAGAACCACTGCTTAAAATGAACTCGAGTCGTGGTCATATTCCTTCGTATCGCGTGCAACATGCCCCGTGTGAACCTCCCTCTCTTTTTCATGCCATTCTCTGTCTTCTCCGTGTGTTGTTTATCTTATATTTGTTCATTTTACGCAGTATATTCCAGTGCAAGAACATACTAGTTACATTGTTATGAGGTTTTCTCGTCGTGTGTCCAAACCTACCCTAGCGTCTCTTCTTTATCTTATGATTCATTGGTGTGTTCAGTTCTCTCATAGCTCCTCATAAGTTATTTCATCGTATAAATCAATTACTTCTATTATACGAAAGCACCATTTAAACATGTATTGGTATAGTTTAAATACAACGTAATAATTGAATTTACGGTTTCCGAGATTTGGGGCTTTATTAATATTCTACCTCCAACAGGTGAAATTCACACGTCACGGGACAGTCTAATACTTCAGGGGGTAGTAGATAGGCTGCATACAGTCGTAGGACCGAGGCTGCATGCAGTCGTGGGACCTAGGCTGCACTCTCTTGTAGGACATAGTTGGGTTGGTGTTAGGGCCGGTTCTAAATGTTTTGGGGTCGTTAAAAGCATCATAAAGCCGGAAAACCCAGTCTCACCACCCTCTAAAATTGTGACTGTCCTGTGACGTCATTCGTGCTAGGAAATTAATAAAGAACCCAAGATTTGGTTCTGCTTAAAATTGCTTCAACAACCGTATTCTAACTATTTTGAAGGATAGTAAGTTGTAAAGACAGATGATTACAAACATCACAAAAAGCATAATTTATTGGCCACTTCAATATTGATGAAGGGATTTTTAAAAAAAGACGAAGAAAAGGGATTCATAAAGGCCTTTTATAGGGACATGGATTGGTGTCACAATACCAAGTGATACCTACTGATAGAGATGGCTATATCTGAAGAAGCATGACCGCTAGGGTCAGTAGGACAAGGTATGAGCACAGGCAGGATAGTCTTGGCGTACAGACATCTCATGGATGAAGTGGCTGTTTCTACTACAGATATCATCAGCCTTTAAAAAAAAAAAAACTTCTCCGACAGACATAAGAGATGTTAGCATGACAATCAGAAAAAGGCAGTCACAAAGCAGCAGCCTATCAAAACTCTATATGACCCAATCGAAACGTATTTGTGAAACGGGGTATTGTTGTTTAAATTACTTTTACGACTACAAAATTAGTTTTGTGGTCGAATTCCCCATGGTAATAATTGGAAGTGGAGTCGCCGTGGCGTAGAGGCTAGATGCTCGCATACGGATTGGAAGGTTGTGGGTTCGCTCCTTGGCGGAACCGGACTTTTTTTTTTTTAAATGACCTTGGCTCCCAGGTCGACAAGGCCTTGAGTGGGTACCGGGTGCAGTTCCTGGAATTAAAGGCGGCCTGCGTGATGCTGACCACATCACCCATCTTGTGCCGATTGGTCTTTAAAAATTTAGGTCTAGCCCTATATACCCTATACGCCTCAAGGCGTAGAAAAGGGACCTTTACTTACCTTATTTTTTTACCTCACTTAATAATTGAGAATGGTTATTGAAATCAGCGATCAGTGAACAAACTGTGTTAACAAGGATGCCTAGAAGAAACCTAAGACAAACAAAGGTTGATGACAGAAGCCAAAGGTGCTGGTCTGGATTCGATTCATGATATTGAAACAGCTGCCCAGGATAGAATAGAACACACTGCGACCCCCAAGTAAAGTACAACAGCACAATATGATGTTGAATAATGAACGCTTAGTCTACTATAGGCCACTGAAGTGGTTTCATTATCGTCCTAAGTATGCAGACACCCCACAAAAGTGGCTTCAGTTGCTCAGCAGAGAGTACATCCAGTAAAAATTGTTGTTTCTACGACAGACTGTAAGAAAGTAATGCCCTCTTCTATTTTTACCTATGTAAATACTGTATCGGTGGACTATTTGTATGTAAACTTAACAGGATTCCTCTGACACTCTTTTGCACTGTTTAGCATTACGATCCAGTTTCAGTAACAGGTGGCACCACTATAGGGGTTTAAAACAGCTACCAAAAACGTTCGGTTAAAACAGTGATCGAAAGAGTAAAAAAATCAGCAGCATAACGATTACAATTTTTTTTTCAGAGACCAATTTTTTTTCAAGAACCTGTTGAGAACCTTGTTTTTCGGAGTCAAAACTGATTTGTGGCCGACTGGCCGAGCCAAACTCAGGTCGCTAAAGAGCCGCATGCAGCTCGCGAGCCGCGATTTGCCGACAACTGGGTTAAAACAATGTAGTGTCATAGAATTTCTTAATGGTGAAGACGAAACTCCATTTAGCGTTCACGAACGTTGAAGAATGTTTCTAGAGATTCAACAGTGGATGTTAGCACTGTCCGACGCTGGGTACATCGCTATGATAAAGCTGAAGTAGGTCAATATTTAGTGGCTGAGGCAAAGCGGTCTGACCGTCCGTCTATCGCAATTGCTCCACACAACATTTATTGAGGTGATTATAGCATTTATGCTGACCATCAGGTTGACAGTATGATTACCAAGAGAAGATGGAAATGGCTTGGCCACGTTATGAGAATGACTTCTGATATACCTGCCAAAACAGCTCTCACATGAACACCAGAGGGAAAGAGAAAACAGGGGCGCCCAAAAACAACATGGAGACGAACGATGGAAAATGACCTGGGTGCGTCATCTTTGACATGGAAAACTGCACTGAAGATTGCACAGGACAGGAACGCATGGAAAGTCCTCTCTGAAGCCTCATGTGCCACTAGACATAACGAGAACTGATGATGGTCAGGTATCAATGAATGAAATGTGCTCTAAAAATAGGAGACATTACTTTTTAACCATCCCTCGTATTTCATTTCAACCCCTTCTCGAAGGTTGAAATAGGCTGAACATTTAAGTTGCAAATCGATCGAAAATATTGACCGTTAGTTTAATCTCTCCAGTATAATTTCCAATGTGTCCAGAACACATGCTATGCTTACTGTCTGGGGTTCACACTTTGACGTGTTTGCATAGCTCTTTCCGGTGCATGTGAGTTGTCATATTCAATATATCATTTCATGTTCCCCCGTCTATTGATTGTTTGAATATTTGGATTGCGTCAGATAGAATCAGTACGAATCTTACGAAACTATCTTTATTTTGTTACAAGAATATTTAGTTGTGCAAACGCAACTAACGGGAAAAAAGTTCTCTCTTTATATATATATATATATATATATATATATATATATATATATATATATATATATATATATATATATATATATATACATACATACACACACACACAAACACACACACATACACACACAATCTATATACACGTACACATACACATATATACACCACATGATATACACACTCACACACACATACATATTTAAAAACAATTACTTCTGTTTACTGAAATATATCGTAGCATATTTGCACTAAGTTAAAGAGGAGACGGAGAAGAATTAAAAAAAAAAAAAAAAAAAAACTTCAGAATAATGACTGCTAAAAAAGATATAGTTGTAAAGATTTCCAAATCTAACACCTACATATAATCGTTAGCAAGAGTGCTTAGACGACTGCCTGTAGGCTTCAAGATTATAGGGTCAAATACGTACCCAGCTGGATTTCTGAGCTTAGCTCTTAGTTCGACCCAATCTGAAAGCGTTACCAAGAAGTGTCACGGGAAGTCAAGCCTGCCAGTGTGATGTTAACGACATCGAATGTAGATTGCTTTATAAAAATATACTGGTCTAGTATCAAATTCTCAATGAGCCAAAATAGCACGAATCGAGTTTTTTTTACCTATTTCATTATAGTATAAATCTTACACTTTGGTTAAACAAATCTTATTTTCTTTGTATTGCAATTTTATCTGATGAATGTATATTGGTTTTCCAGGCAACACCCAGTTACCCGGGACAGATAATGAGCTTGTCCCGCCAGGCGTCTCAACGGATCCGGGAGCCTAGCGTTCAAGACCGTTTGGTTATCACCAGCGAGACAGTGGCACAAGCTTCCAGTTCCCAGGCTGCTGGTACCATGTACGGGGTAGCGGGAATGAACTGCGATGACAAGGATGTATCTTTCCTCACCCGAAGTGAGTCGTGCCTCAGCTCTCATATGTCTTCCCCGGATATTTTCACTGCAACTGCAATGGACCCGGGCCTTGCCCACGCTTACAGAAGCACTCACATTGTTGAACACCATGACATACACGCTCGCGGTTACGACCAGGCACGGAGACAGCTGTTTAAACAGCAGCTACAGAACAAAGCAGCGCAAAGAAGGTCTTGGCATTTTGATGACAGAAATGGAGCATACATAGTAACTGATCTAATCAATAACAGACCTTGTGCTCCATTACCTGCACACGTCAGGCCACGGAAAGACCCCGAGGAAGAAAAACCGCCTATACCTCCACGGAGAGACAAACTAATATCACCACCAGCACCTAAGCGATTGCCTGGAAATGAAGCCGTATCTTTAGCTCAAAATAGCTCTGATCTAATGGTATTAGAGGATCCGATAGTTACTGCACCAGGTAAAACAAACCAAAACTTCAGCGATGTAACAGGAACTGTTGAATCTTCTGTTAAAAGAAACACGAATCCTTTCATTGACGACACAGTTGTGAATACATCACAAATGTTAAGTGACCTACAGCGCAGCACACTCAGCAATACCTCATGGGAGACACAGTCATGGCCTGAGCCTCCATCAGAAAGTGAAATCTTAGGGCAAACAGCGCCAGCAGTGCCTAGCAATAGTAGTACCGCCACAGATAAATCTGCTCCCATTGTCTATTCTTCCCAGTTAAAAACCGTACCCGAAAGCCTTCAGTATCAACCACAGAATTACGGTAGCCATCCCAGGAAGCCTGACCAACAGGATGAATCTAAAATTCCATATAATACATTAAAGTCCAACGAATCCCAGAACAAACCATCTAAGACCAATCACACAGACCGTTCACACAGGCATAAGAAAGGCACTGGTGGTAAAATCACACCTCCTTCGCTTGAAGCTCAGATCCCCGTAATGAAAGAATACGACAACCCACTCTTCAAAGCCCAGGCACCAGATGGAGACAGGCCTGTGACACTGGGGGAAACTTTTTCATTGCAAATCTGCGAATCAACGTCATTCGTTCATCCTTCTCCTGAACAGCCCCCGCCTTCATCCTTTTACGCTGCTGTCGGCAACACCAAAAGTGATCCTTCCTCTCTTCGGCGCCACAGTGGTCATTTTACTTACACCCCTATTCTGGAAGATGGAGGAAATGTAGGCAACCCTATATCACATGTCTCTTACGATCCAAGCCGCAACAACCCTCCTCCTAGCTACAGCAGGTACAACAATAGAAGACCAGAAGACACTTTAAACAAACACTCTTCACCTAAAGATAAGCCCAGATCTAACAGCAAACAACATCACCAACAAAACGGAATAGTTAAATCACGTCCCCGACAGGTGAAACGTGAGCACCAGCAAAGGCGAAATGGGCACCCAGATCCCGGGAACCCCCCGCAATACCAAACAACGTCCCCGCACACAGGAAGATACGGTTCTAGCCCTGATCTGGTCAGCAAGTCTCCCAGGGTAGGCAGGCGCAGACCAGACAGCGTAGGGCCTGGAAATGATTCTGTATATGCAAAAAGTGACCACAACAGAAACTTTAACAAAGCTTCTCAAGATCATAAGGCTGGAACGTATGGCTACGACACAAACAGACAAACTCAATCACCGTATTATAGCGTACAACCTGGTCAATACCGTCATTGGGGTGACTCAGATCTTTAGCGTGTGGAGTAAGTAGTTCGGGCTATCTTGATAAAGATTACTCTGCATAACAACATAACGATCGACTTGTTTGTTCCCTAAGGATATTAACCACCCTGAGATTTAAAAAAAAATCCTAATCTTTATGGCTGACCAGCAAAGCAGATCCCAGATTCCCCGTTCAGCCTCCAAAGAAGACATTATTAGGGTACCTGAAACGGCTACACTAAACTGGGTTGTCACCTACAGGCCTGTGTGGGTAAAGAACTAGAAACAATGTAACCAGCCACCTTTATTTTTACATTAGTATCTGTAGCAGCGAAAGGGCGATAACTCTTTTAAATACTGGTTAAATTGTTAAAATTAAAGAAAAACGGTTTGATGAGGGTTGAGTGTGTGTGTGTGTGTGTGTGTGTGTGTGTGTGTGTGTGTGTGTGTGTGTGTGTGTGTGTGGAAAAAGGTGGGGGTGAGGTGGGGTGGGAGGGGGGGGTACAACAAATCCAAAAGCTGCTAATCGTATGTCAAATTTTTAACATTAACAACACTGGATAGTACCTTGCACTGTTACTATAATTATTTTCAATGCTGTGTTAAACTACTTATCGTCCTTCTTAGGACGTTATTTTTTGTTATTTGAAGCCCCACTCTGGCTTTTGCCAGGGGCCGTAATATAGGCAGGTCATCATTATGGCCAAATGTCTGAACGCGGTTTCTGGGACCTCTCCACGGTGATCCTCATCCGCATGGTGGCACTTTGTGTCATCGGGTGTTTATCGCTTGTGTGATGTCCTGGTGGGGTAAAAAATCCAATCCAATCCAATGCTGTGTCTAAGTTACAGCCCCGCCCACCATAAATGGCAATTTGTGTGTGTGTGTGGTTATTTTAAAATCCCACCTCGGCTGTTTTCTGTGGCCCTAATATAACCTAAAACAGGGCTATTCAACAACATTTACTTAGGGGCCAAAATTTTAAAAAGAGGGATCGTCACGGACCAGAGGCCCAGCAGATAAAGATCATTATTTCAATATAATTTGCAATGATACGCGGGCCACATATTAGTCCTCTGCGGACCGGACTTAGCCCACGAGCCGTCAGTTAAATAGTCCTGACCTAAAGGTTTAACTGGGTTTCTGGAAATTGCGCCAGAAAAGTTCTCATCGAATGAGGGCACTTTGTGTCACCTGATGTTAGTCAAATAATACAATACCAAATTTAAGATAAGCTAAGTCACACAAAGATGTCATCCTTCTCGGCCTTTCGGTTAAGATCAAAGTGTAGCTCTAGTGTACTGGTCTGGCTTTACGGCTGGTCGGCCAGCGTGATGCTGACCACATCACCCATCTTGTGCCGATTGGTCTATAAAAATATAGGTCTAGCCCTATATGCCCTATACGCCTAAAGGCGTGAAAAAGGGTCCTTTACTTTACTTACTTTTACTTTCTACTTACGGCTGGTCGATCACCAAACTCACGAATAGGGCCAACCCTTACAGCCTAGAGCCTAATTTAAAAAGAAAAAGCAGTTTGGTCTTGATTACCGACGTTATATCCTTCGCATGGGCCTGGCGTTTGGGGGACTGAAATAGTTTATAAGACACAAAAAGGTGGACTGACATACCTTATTAGTTCACACCCACAATACATATTGCTTTATCAATACAAGCAACCAGAATTTTCCACCAGAGTTTACAGCTGGCGAACGTTAAGAAAAAGAAATGTTAAAATAGGTTAAAAACTTATATTGCAGCACTTAGGGAATTTCCTAAGATTTCTGTACCCCAAAGGCCTATTCAGCAGCCAGCCAAGGAACTGAATTTATTTAGGCAAGATATCAAGGGTTTCCTCATAGTATTGTTAGTATGTATGTGGCGCCTCCCAAAAAAAAATCAATGGGGAAGAGGGGGGGGGGGGGGTTTCTATGGAAGGGGTTTATGGGGGCAGGAAGGGGTCTCAGGTTTTATTTAAGTGCACCAGAAAATAACAATGGGTGTTCAGCTGCACTTAATTTTTTTTGGGGGGAAAGGGGTCTCTCTGATGTACTAACCTCATCATATGAATAAATATACTTTTAATGTCTTTGAGAACAATAACAAATTAATATTGCTGCTACTGGTAATAATAAGCTGTACCTAGAAACATAACTATAATTTACTTCTGCAGTCACATGTTTGGAACAATTTGGGTGAGAATGGCATAGCTGAGTATATATATTTTTAGTAGGGCTGTACCGAATAGTGATTTTTACTATTCGGTCAAATATGAATAGTGAGACCAAGTTTTTTGCCGAATATGAATACAAATAGTGTATCGTTATTATCAGGTGCCTTGCCGACTGGTGATTATGCCTCGCTACAATTTGCGATCTCCTGCAGCATGTATTAGTTCGTGTGCTGACACACCTCCATACCATGCATCAAGACTGTCAAATAGCTTTTCTTGTTGTCTTCCTCTATCCCTCCTTTCAAGATCTTTCCAGTGGTCACCAGATGTTCCATTTCCCCTCTTCTCATAATATGGCCGAAATATGATGACTGTCTCCTTATGTTGTCTGTGATTATTTGTCTTTGGGCACCCGCTTCTTCCAAATCCTCTTGGTTGCTTTTTTTTTGGCTGTCCAAGGTATTTTAAGCATTGTTCTGTAAAACCACATCTCTGTGGCCTCGAGAAATTGTTTGGCCTGCCTACCGATTGTCCAGGACTCACAGCCATATGTTAAAACTAGATGTATGTAGCAAGCTAGAATTCTTGTTCCAACCTTCAATGATAAAGATATATTGCATAAGACGTTCTTAATTTGATAAAATGCAGTTTTTGATGTCCTCTTTTCGACTGTGGCTAGGAAAGACAATTGAAATTTTAACTTTTAAGTATCTTTATGCCTTCTTTAATAATATCACAATTTATAGCCGACTTTTCTTGATTTTTGCTGCGGCACCCCTGGCATTCGCACCCAGTTTGAGAACCACTGCTGTAATGCCTCAGTCTAGTCAGCAGGCAAAGACCTTGCCAGCTGCTGTACCACGCAACCAGGTCACAGTTTCCCTCAAGAAATTGTTTGGCCTGCCTACCGATTGTTCAGGACTCACAGCCATATGTTAAAACTGCTACGACAGACTTAGGCAACAGCAACTATTTTGTTAATGAGAGTTATTTCAGTCCATCGCAGTGTATGTAGAAACGGGTGTAAAGTAACTTCTATTCGTATTCGGCCCGACCACAGGTATTCGGCCTAATACCGAATAGTTATTAGTTCCACTATTCAGCCCCGATGCGAATATGAAGCGAATATTCATTATAGCCCTAATTTTTAGCATTGCATAATCCTTATTTTTTCCCATTGAATAAAATAAAAATTAGTAATATTTATACTCATATTAAGGGATCAATTTTATTAGTAAACATAATTACAGTTTAGTAATTATTCAGTACAATTTATAAGTTGCCCTGGGGTTAAAACAATGAGAGGAATAGAATGAAATAATATTATGTAAATTTGCCTAGGGAGCACGTTCTGTGTGCAGTTAGCCAAGACGCTACCATGCTGACTGAACTGCAACACAGAAAAATATAATGTATATAATATGTTCTTACAATAATCTAATGAATAAAAATTCATAGGCTGAAGACCACAGAAGATGAGGAACTGTTTTGTAAAGCCAATCCCGCTGTATGAGAAAGATATTTAATATAAACATAAACAATCAAATATAAAGGCTGTGGAAAGACATGAAATGTAAAAATTAATAGGTGAAAAAAAAATAAAACAGACAAGTGAAATATTTCAGCCTGTTACAAGACATAATACTCTGATAAAAACCATACTAAAGGGACAAGTCAAGGGTAGGCAAGATAATACACTGGTATAATTGGGCGGTTATAGGGTGACAATCAGCAGTCGCAGTAAGTGTATAGTCAAGATTAGAGACTAAGAGAGTGTTTGAGATTCTTTAAAGCCAACCTTCAATGTGGAGATGGCACTAGAGTGATTAAAATCAGCATCCGCGAGAATACAGAAAAGTTTGACACAAATTGCCCTTGTAGCAAAAATCACTACAAACAATGAAGGACCTTTTTTGCACACTTTTAGGTGAATTGGACATATAAGACTAGACTTATATTGTATAAACCAATCAGCACTCTGTGGGGGATGTGCTTCACATCACACTAGCCACCTTTACTTCCCAGCTATTTACCTGCTACCCATTCAAGGCTGAGTCCTACCTGGGAGCAAAGGCCATTTCTAAAAAAAGACTGGTTTGTTGAGGACCTAAAGCCACGACCTTCAGATCTGCAGGCATACATGTCATACGTCTAGCCCACACAGAATTGCAGGGCTATGAGGGTAGTACTTTGTGTGGACATACATGATCCTCGTCTTACTGTGCCAGTATGCATCATATAAGGCTCACAGTCTATCCCTCCATTTCATTCTGAGTAATCCTTTTGATATCATGAAAGCAATCCATCAAGCACATTTGGTCAATGGAAAACAGTTTCTGCCTTTGTAGGTTATTTTAGATCTTATACAGTCTAATTTGACTGACTGTTTTGCTTTTTGTTTACTGTACATACTATAAGAAAACGGATAAAAGTAGTGAGTCATTACTCTCTGAATGTCCCTCGTAATACGAAGAAAAGATATCAGCTCTCTTCCTCGCTTTTTAACTTCACAGTTAAGATCACAAATACAATGTTTATCTTCTCTCTTCTTCTGAATGTTTACTGGCTGTAAATTCAGGAAACAATTCTAGTCATTTGTCTACTTTTTGACTTCGTTCTTGTTCTAGAACTTGAGTTTTGTGTGCACATCCATTCAACAGATTTAGTTTATTTGCACGCAGACTGTTGGTTCCTCACCTCTCAGGTAGATGCAAATACACTTCAAAGTATAACGTGCCAAAAATAGTCATTTTTTAATGACATGCTTGTTGGAGGCAGTAGGTCTATCATCCCCCCCCACCCGCCCCCAACCCCAATGGTGCCCTAGACCCACACATGAAAAATATAAGAATTCAAGGAAAAACTGAAAGCTAGAGAGGTTTATCTCGCAAAATTTGTGTTCACATCCCAAAGATTTGACTACTACACAACTAAACTACCACGATAAATAAATAGAATCAGAATACAAACAATATTTTTGCAATTGTTGTTGATTTATTCAGATCTTTGCTCATAGTCAAGTGTACAGCAGTTTTAATACAGAATACTTCAATGTTTTTTTTCTTTCAATTGTGCATGAAGACATTTGTTACAATCATTGTTTTTGTGTAAACAACGGGAAAAATAATAAAAGATCTTCCATGAAACCTTTTATATACCTTTTTTATATAGATTTATGTTTTTCTTGTTTGCGTATTGTTGGTGTAGAAAAGTATATTGTCCTGTTTAAACCAATTATTCAGTGACCAGATGTCGATCAAACAGGTCAATGTGACATTGTATAGCCTCTTACTATTTTGAACAATCATTTTTTTAAAATTCAACATCTATTTTCTAATTTTCATGAACGGAAATCTGTTACACACAAAAATTCATGAAATTCTAATGAATACTTGTTCTTTTCTTTAACACTGTGTTTTCCTTTTGCTGTTATAATAGATTGTTACATATCTTAACTTGTTTCAGTGTTGGTTGAGTGTGATTCATGTTTGCAGTTGCATTATTGCCTTATTATTCTGAAAATACCATAGCATACATTTAAAAAAAAAGGTAGTAATTTTTTTTTGTCATGGTGCAAACTTTAAATTAAAACACACCCACATCAGAACAGTTCCTTAGAGCAGTGACTGGCACACAGATGCCTACATTTCCTAATCTCTCCCCCAGAAGTGTTTTATCTTCTTTTCTTCTAATGACACGAGCTTACAGGTCCACCAGTGTAAGATTACGATGGGTATCAGAAAATTCTCTGGAAATTAAAGGCAGCCACCATAATATTGACCACATTACCAAGTGTTTTCACTATTCTATAAAAAATATTAGGCTAGCAACATATACTGAATACGATGAAAGTGTGGGTAAAGGTTCCTTACTTATTTTACTGTTACCATATACTCAACATGTGTCATGACGTGGTCAAATATATTTTACTTATTTAATTACATCAGAATATTTATGTCAAGATTCTGGTCTAAAAAGATTAGTATTCCCACAAGTGGTGCAGAGTTCACGTGCTGAAAAAAGAAAAAAAAAGAAAAGAAAAACCTTTCCCATTATGAAGCAAAGTGCTGTCATTATAAGATTATTATGAAATAATGATGATGTCACAATTTAAAATAAAAGTCTCAATTTTTCACCCTTAACAATTTCAGAAATCTTGTTAGGGAAATTTATAGTCATATTTACTAAACTATGTATGGAAGACACTTGTATTATAGTAATATATGAAGGCAGAAAGTCAGACCATTTTCAAATAACATCTGGTTTAAAACAAGGGGATGCTCTGTCCCCACTTCTTTTCAACTTGACCCTGGAGAAAATTATAAGGAAATTGAAACAAGAATGTACTATAGGAGAAACTACAAGAATACTTGGATATGCAGATGACATTGATATCATTGGAGAAAATGAACTAGAGACTGTTAAAACACTGTCTCTCTTAAAAGAATCAGCTCAGAAAATGGGAGTAGCTATCAGTCAAGATAAGACCGAATAGATGATAATAACTAGATAGTAAAAGGATATAAACTCCGGCCACATACAAGTCGATAATATGAAAATCAAATGAACGGAAACATATAAGTATTTGGGTGCAAACTTCAACTGCTCCAACACTTTGTGTCACTGGGTGTCCTGGTGGGTTTGAACGCCAATCAGTCGGTCACAGGCACCCATATATAACCTGCTTTTTTTTTAAGGCCTGCGGTATGTATTCTATTTAATGCTTCACTCTGTTTCTTGATTACTCCCTTTTAATATCTTTATAAATTTTTTTTTAATTTCTTTTTAAAATGCACTTAAATATATCTTTCACAAATTCATGGATTTCCACAGGTTCCTGACCTATTTTTTTGAATTACCAGGGCAACAGGATTAAGACAGATTGCAGGTAACATATTAAACTCATATTTCTGCACTGACTGGGGCAAAACTTGTTTTATAGTCAGTAGTATGCTGGCTGTATCTGCTTACATTATCTAGTATCAATTTCATAAGGTTGGGTCATTTGCTTAGGTATATAATAGTAACATGTAAGACTCTGAGACAACCAAGGTGATGGAACAATAAATAAATTGTTGTATATTGCTGCTAATAATGCGAACAAACAAGATGTAGACATTTTGAAAAACGAAGTAGGAAGACAGCTTTTGGAAGAAAAGAAAAAAGATTCTCTGTGCTATGTTTTTGTCTTCTCATTACATGTTCTGCTTTGAATTGTTCTCACCAACAATGTATGCCTGAATCGAACGATACAGAGCTGCAATGTTGCCTGAACCAAACCCTGTAGCACCTTTCCTCTGTATGATCTCTAGGAAAAATGGGTCACTAGGCAACAACGGCTTGGTGAATATCTGAAGCAGGTAGCTGTAGACAAATGTGAGAGTTTAAAAATACTGATGCATGAAAATGTCCAACTATTAATATTAATAGCATTATTCCCTGTACAGGTACAAATGTCCCGTTGTGGAGGAACAAAGCAGTTGACCCCTTTGCCTCTTAAAAAGCATTTAATAAAAGGCCATTAGTTGGAAATGGATGCGTGAGGTTGACAGCAGATGTTGCATCCTAGCTGTAATCCACAATATGCCAGACAGACAGACAGACACAGACAGACAGACAGACACAGACAGACAGACACAGACAGACAGACACACAGACAGACAGACAGATAGACACACACACAAGCACGCACACACACACACAAATATATATAAAAGTAAATGTAAAGGACACTGTTTTATTCCAGTGGTGCATTGGACATATCACAATAGACATATAATTGTACAAACCGATTGACGCTCACCGGATGATATCATGCCAAATCCAATGGATGATATCATCAGCATCATGCCAGCCAGCTTTACATCTCAGGACATTACTTGTTACTATTTTAATCTAAGTCAACTTTAGAGGCAAGGTTATTTTTTTTTGGCGAAAAAACCAATATGTCTTAGTTAGTACATGTGTGAACCTAAACCTGTTAGGACAGGCAGTTGAACAATGCCACTGTGCTATCACAGCATCCTTCCTTTCAACTATTTTAATCCTAAACGCATAGTATTTGATATGATTGAAACTCCTAGCAAGTGTCAACCATCAAACTTACATTCTAATTTTGGTCAGAGAATATAAGTAAATCTGGCTACCCAAGTGGCCACATCATTATTGTTTAGCCTGATGTTAGCTGTCATAAATTTACTCAATTTATACATTGAAAGGGTTAAAGGTGAACATGAAGAAGCAGAAGAGGAAGAAACAGCACTACAGCTGTGAGTTAAAAAGACACGTTTAAAGTAATTGCACAGATTATACCTGTAAGGACTTTGCCAGTGTGTGTATACCGGTAAGTATTGATTTAATTGCACCAGGTTTAATCAGTATTGCTTAGTCTCTCGCTGTGCAAAGTGACTGGTTTTCTGTCAAAAGTATCACAAAATACCCAAAACTCTGTAGCTCCAGCTTCAAACACCGGGAATCTGAAAGGCTTGCACTAGCAAACCAAAGGGCAGAGTTTTGAGAATCATAAACATAATTAACCATTACCTGACAACAGTAAATTAAAACATACAGAGAGAAGTCTTTTACTGAAACAAACTTCTTTTAAGGGGCAATGCATGTACTTACGTCATTTGTATTGATTTGTCACAATCACTTTCATGTAACCTTTCTGCTTCAGTGTCAATGAGGATTCCATTTGTTCTGAGGTCATCAACATTCTCTCCAACACCTTTAATGTCATCAAGTCTGCCTTCCTGTAAATCAACATTACTAATATTGTGTTTCTTAGCATACCATTTGTAGCCTAATAATATAAACAAATCTTCTTCTCTTCTTCTTCTTTCATTCTTTTAAAATAGATTATGTATATGTGCAATATTGTCTTTTGTAACTCACTCAGTGACTCATAAAGTTTGGCTTGCTCCGCTGTTTCTCTTAGCCTGCATGAGCAATTCATAACTGCTTTAAAAAAAAAAAAAAAGTTTATTTATTTATTATAGTTTTATATATCTGTTTGAATATGGTCAAGATGGCGGAGTAAGCAAAAGTCGGTTAACATTTTGTGAGACGAAACTGTGTTTTTGTGTGTTTTTAAGACATCCAAGCATAAATATGAGTGCAAAGAGACAGATTATTAATAGCATATTTATTCCAACATTAGGCTACCAGTGCCAAACATGGACACTATCTAAAGCCCATATACGCAAAATTACCACCTGCGAGATGAGGTGCCTGAGAAAAGCAGCCAACCTAACCATCCGAGATCGAGTGAATAATGAAACTATCAGGCAAATTGTGGGAACAACACCTTGTACTAGATTCATCGAGAAACAGCAGATCAAGTGGTTTGGCCATCTCGTTAGAATGCAGCAAGATCAAATACCATAATAAGCACTATATCTCAGAAGATCAACTACAAGAGCAAGAGGACGGCCGCGGAAAACATGGATTGACAACATTAAAGACACTCTACGCCTTCACGGCATGACAATAGCCAGTGGCAGCCAACGTGCCCTGGATCGCAAATTATTCCTCCCCAAGACGCTCAACGGCAGAAGTGGTTCATGATGATGATGATGATGATAGTTTGCGGGAGCTTATTCACACCCCCCCCCCCCCCCCCCCCCACCCCCGCTTTCTTTCAGAAGAAAAAAATGTGGGAGGGGCTCAAGATGGCTGAGCTCCCAGTTTCTTGTGCTCATGTCTGCAGCTTAAATTTCACTCCAACACTGCAAAGTAGAGGAGGATCAAAATGAGGTGACGAGATAGAACTTACTTTTGTGTAGTATGCTGGTGGAGGTGGTTTGGCAAAAGGCACTCCTAGCTTGGCCAGATTCCTGACAGCTTGTTTGATGTCACTGCTTGTGAATGCTAAATGTTGGATGCCAGGACCACCATGTTGTCTCAGCCACGATGTAATTTGATTTTCCTCTGGTGAATAAATCATCATTGAAGTAATTTAATAAGAAGAATATTTACTGTAACAAATGACAGCAAAAAAGCACTATTCAGTACACTATTGTTACCACTGATGTGTTACCAGTGACACAAGTGGACATTAACAACAAAGAAAAATTCCAACAACAGAAATGAAATGTCCATGGGGAATCCTAACTCTGACTAGGGGAGATAGGATCATATATGATGATATTAGGAAAGAAGTTGGGACAGAACCAGTACTAAACTACACCAAGAGACTATAGATAGATCACATGGTTTTGACACCACCACCAGATAGTACACAGCAGAGAGTTGTTAGATATAATTGAAATGGAGCTAGAGGTTACCAAGCAAGCGATGTATAAATAGAATATTTAAGGCCATAAATACCAGCATCGACCCATATCAAGGCTCGCACTTGATGCCTCTTCAAAACATACTGTTCAAAAATGAACAGGGCTAGATAAAAAAGAAGAATATTTGCTATCTTTTGCCATGGAGTATTACATGGTAATATTGAGCAGTGGTTCACTGTAACAGATCCAATACCTTTTAATAGTCATGCTGAAAAACACACACACACAAAGTAAACTAATATTAGAATCAGGGGGAAAAAAAGAAAAAGAAGGGGTTGAGGGTTTAGTGTTTTTTTCCTTTTTTTTTAAAAATGATATAAAGGACCCCTCGATTTTTCTGTGGACCCAATACCAAGGAACAACCATCATAAAGCATTGTATGAGCATACACACTTAAAGACAAATTTAGCCCAAATGTTTTTCCACAAGCTACTTGTTAAATTTGAAGTCATATTGTTAATTTTAATTTGATATTCCCTGCCGGAGATTAAATTGACAGAAAATATGGTGATTTGTTTTGCACCATAGAATAATTTTCAGTCCAGGCAAGAAGTAGAATTAATTAGCTTCACAATATCACAAAAACAAATGAACAGTATGATGGTTGCAATTAGAAAGTCACCATCAAGAACAAAAAATAGCAATGATATAATCACAAACATGAATAGACAAAACCACTAATCTTTCTGGTGAGGTCTGTCACAAAATATCCACAACAGATTTAAACAATAGAGGCTCTGACTCATGTTTCATTACAGGATAGATACTGGGTAGGAAGTGAGCAAGGGAGGCAATAACGGCAAAACCCAACCAATAAGGGGAAAGTTGACAATGCCACACAACAGAAAACTTTAGTGGCAAAACCCAAACAATGAGGAAAAAGTTGGCAAGGCCACACCATAGAAAACTTTAGTGGCAAAACCCAAACAATCAGGAAAAAGTTGACAAGGCCACACCATAGAAAACTTTAGTGGCAAAAACCCAACCAATCACTGATAGTTGACAGGGCCTCACCATAGAGTATTTTAGTAGCAAAACCCAACCAAAAAGAGGAAAGTTGACAAGGCCACACCATAGAAAACTTTAGTGGCAAAACCAAACCAATCAGGGAAAATTTGACCATGTAACATTCTGTAATAAAAAATATGGGCCTAAAATATGATCTGCTTTTTAACTTAAAGGCAAATAATAGGAAATAATACACATTTATTTCCTACTCACGGTACTCTGCTTTTTTTTTTTAACCCTCACTGACATTTTTTGGGAATTGTTATTTTCTTACAGTCTTTTATTTCTCATTGCATGTTTTCTCTGTGTCATAGTCTTTGCCTGCATGTATTTTATTTCTTTGTTTGCTGTGTTCTATTTTTGTTGAGAATTATTTTCACATGTCTTCTTTTTCTTCTTATGTCATCACACTGTTGTAGCCAAATGTCATGATTTTCTGTACTTGTCTTGCATTTAAGCAATAAATGTGGACTTTATGTTGCAAGATTCAGCTACCGCATCTATCTATAGCTTCATTGCTCTTCCTCCTACCTTCCTCTTAGATCAGGGGTCTTCACTCAGGGGGGCATGAGAAGGTTTCAAAAGGGAGGGGGGGGGGGGGGGGGTTGCAATTAGCAATTTAGAAATTAAGTGCATTTGTATTTGTAATAATCCATTATATTATTTTCTTCAGTTTAATTATATATGAAATATTTGCTTAAACTATATATTATATAAACAAAAAGGCAAGGACATTTGCTTGTTTTCATAAGCAGTTTGTATACCTACATTTACAAATCTAATTAATATGATAACACATTCATTTAATTATAGACTAAGAAAACATTCTGACCAAAATGTGTCCATGCTGTCTGTTTCTTTTGTTGCTGAATCTTTTCTTCTATTTTTAATCACATTTTGTAATGTTCAGGGTAGGGGGGTCGTGCCATATACTCAAGGTGGGCATGGATTTTTTCCCATACACTAAGGGGGAGGTGGGGGGGGGGGGGGGGAGGGTAGGAGTCTTGTCCTATACTCAAGGAAGGCAAGGAGGTCTTGCCAAATACTCAAGGCGGGCATGGATTTTTTCCCATACACTAAGGGGGGTTAGGGGGGGGGGGGGGGGGGGGGGGGGGGGGGTAGGAGTCTTGTCCTATACTCAAGGGAGGTAAGGAGGTCTAGCCAAATACTCAAGGCGGGCATGGATTTTTTCCCATACACTAAAAGGGGTGGGGGGGGGGGGTAGGAGTCTTGTCCTATACTCAAGGGAGGTAAGGAGGTCTTGCCAAATACTCAAGGCGGGCATGGATTTTCCCCCACACACGAAGGAAGAGGGGGGGGGGGGGGGTGTAGGAGTCTTGTCCTATACTCAAGGGAGGTAAGGAAGTCTTGCCATATACTCAAGGCGGGCATGGATTTTTTCCCATACACTAAGGGGGCGTAGGAGTCTTGTCCTATACTCAAGGGAGGCAAGGAGGTCTTGCCATGCACTCAAGGGGGTATGGGGGTCTTGCCATATATTCAAAAAGGGGTGGGGGGGGGGCATGACTTGAAAAAGGTTGGATACCACTAGTTTAAATGTTTTTCTGTAAAAGATATAATTGATCAATTGTTAATTTCTGTTTGTTCAGTTCTGTTACCATGTTGAACTGCAGCTATAAACAATTTATCATGAAACGCATACCCTGACATCCAGGCACTGGTGACAAACCCTCAGCCACAACCAAAGACAGTCTGTTTTCAGCACCTTCTTCCTCGGGTGCTAGCAGACCCACTTCTGAACACTTCCAATATTCCATTGCTCTCAGACGAAGTCCTACATCATTTGTTGAGAGTACCAGCCCCTTGTCTTTATCCTCTTCACTGGACAGATAAATAATGCATAAGAAAGATACCAAAAGTATATCTAGGCTATCAATATATTTGAAAGAAAATAATTCAAGCTAAGTAAATAATTCAAGCTAAGTATGTTTTATTCCTCCTATAGTATTTTTTGACAACATGAGAAAAAGTAGCCTTTTTAAGATAGCAGTATAAGAAGAAGGAGACATTATGAGAATGGTAATATCAGAAATAGACAGTGTAAGTGGCAGTATGAAAAGTAGACATTATGGTTAGTTGCGTATCCTTTTTTGACAGTTATGATCCGCTCAAAATTGGTGGCAACCCTATTCCGGAACTCCACAACACAGATGACACAGTCCTCCTTTCGAACAGCGTAAAGGGAATCAAAAATTTCATATTGTCAGTCCAAAGGCACAGTGAAGATCAAAATCTGTACTTGAATTTAAAGAAAACAAAAATAATGCCCACAGATAAAACTGGCTGTCACCCAAAAAAAACAAAAAACAATAAATAATGAAGAAATTGAAAATGTCACAAACTTTGAATATCTAGGGTCTATAAAAACAGCAATGGAGACTGTTCAACAGAAATTAAAAGGAGGATGGCCTTGGCAATGCAAAGATTGAACAGCCTTAAAAGTCTATGGTTAAGCACCAGCAAGGAGATAATTAGAATTTTTAGAGCATGCATCTTTCCTGTGGCTACATATGGATGTGAGTCGTGGACTATCTCTCAGTCCTTAAGAAAGAGAATAGGGGCTTGTGAGCTGAAATGCTATAAAAAGATTCTCAGAATATCTAGTACGAAGAAGAGGAGAAATATTGACATCTTAAAAGATCTGAACATCAAGGAAGATTGGCTAATAAACAGCATCCTTTCTTGGAAGCTGAAATATTTTGGTCATATCAAGCGCCACAAAAGATTGGAAAAAACTATAGCAGAAGGGATGGTACCAGGAAGGAGGGGCAGGGGCCGACCGACACGAAGATGGGCACAGGATATAAGTGACTCCTTGAGTATAAAAGTATATGAGGCAGGAGAACTGGCGAGAGACTGAGTTTCTTTGAGGCAGACTGTGATGAGAGCGACATTCTGCAAAGGACCTGCTACATGATGATGATGCGTATCCTTTTACATGATGTTGCAGAACCAATCCCAACAGCCCCTGGCTGTTGTGTGGTTTTTCTAGGCTAATTGCGTTCAGTAGTTTTAGACATTATGAGAGAGGTAAAATAAGTTGCCATTGTGAGAATGGCAGTATAAAAGGTAGACATTAATAAGAAAGGTAGAATAAGTAGCCATTGTGAGAATAGCCAGTTGTCTTATTTTTATTATTATTCTTTTGGAACTCCATCAGAAAGTTCTGTTTGTTCATCTTGATGCATAGTTTGGGTTTTGCATGCACATCCATTTTACAGATTTGGCTTATTTGCATGCAGACTATTGGTTTCTTAACTCTCAGGCAATAACTTGAAAAAAAAACATGCCTAATTAGACACCTCCTTGTTAGAGGGTGCAGTGGGTCTCTTCCTTGTTCTTTAAAATGGAGCCCCTGAACCCACACAGGGAGAATGGCAATTATACAAAGTAGACCTTGGGAGAATGGTAATATTAGGAGTAGACATTATGAGAAGGGTACTATAAGAAGTAGACATTTTAGGAATGTTAATATAAGAAAAAGACATTTATAAGAATGGAAATATAAGAAGTAGACATCATGAGAATGGCAATGTAAGAAGTCGACATTATGAGAATGGTAACATGAGAAGTCGACATTATGGAGATGGTTACATAAGAAGTAGACATTATGAGAATTGTAACATAAGAAGTAGACACTATGAGAATGGTAACATATCTTCTTCTTCTTCTGCGTTCGACATCAGTCATGCTAGACATTGAGCCCCGTCTGGGTCACAAATAGGATTGTGCGTTTAAGGTCGCCACCGGTCCCCCATAGCTTCTCTTTCAATGTGGCTTCCTTGGGCCAGATCCACAGTCTTTGCTGGGAGAGGTTAGGGCAGTACTGTAGTATGTGCCCAGGGGTCTGTCTTTCTGCTCCACAATCACAGGTAGCAGATTCTTTTATGCCTATCCTGTACAGGTGTGCTCGAAGGCCACAGTGTAATGGTAACATAAAAAGTAGACATTATGGAAATGGCATCATAAGGAGTAGACATTATGAGAATAGTAACATACGAAGCAGACATTATGGAGATGGTAACATAAGAAGTAGACATTATGAGAATAGTAACATAAGAAGTAGACATTATGAGAATAGTAACATAAGAAGTAGACATTATGAGAATGGTAACATAAGAAGTAGACATTATGAGAATAGTAACATAAGAAGTAGACATTATGAGAATGGTAACATAAGAAGTAGACATTATGAGAATAGTAAAATAAGAAGTAGACATTATGAGAATGGTAACATAAGAAGTAGACATTATGAGAATAGTAACATAAGAAGTAGACATTATGAGAATAGTAACATAAGAAGTAGACATTATGGGGATGGTAACATAAGAAGTAGACATTATGAGAATGGTAATAAAAGAAGCAGACACTATGGGAATGGTTTTATAATAAGTAGACATATGGGAATAGTAGTATAGGAAGATAAAGAATACTTTATGGTTGTTTGCTTGTTTTAGTATCCAGAAGCCATGGTATTAGGCTCGGTATTATGGATATCGCAACCTTTCAGCCTTGATTCCATTGTAAATACCGTAAATCTGGGAGAAATGTGGCTTTTCTGACTACCCTTGGGAGTGAACCCGGACCACTAGGAGTTCGTCACCCGGTCACTACACAATCAGGTTTAGCCAACTACGCTAGAGAGCCGGGCAAAGAATACTTTATGAGAATGGAAGTGGACATTATGAAAATGGTAATATAAGAAGTCAATATTATTTGAATGGCAATATAAGAGCAAGCAGACATAATAGGAATAGCTATAAAGGAAAAAGTAGATAATTAAGGTACCTGTTGATCAAAAACCTCTTCATGCCAAAACATTTCTCATACCAGCCAATGACAGCCATTGATGTTCCCATGTCCACAGCCAGAGCAACATGGTCGAAATACTCTAGCATGGGGTCAGTCTCAGATTTATTTCTGCTCTCATTATCAGATACAGATGTAAACCCCGGAAGGAAGACGCCAGAATAGCCGTTTCTTTCAATCAAAGTGTGATGGATGTCTCCAACGCAGCTCTTGACTGTGCATGTTCTTATGAATCCATCACTGTCGTGAATTGTATGAAGAGGCTTGGTAAACGTGATAGCTTGTTGATTCAGTCGTTTTATGCAGAAGTCGATGTTCCTAACTTCAAATGCCACATTAAACACAGAGTCTTTTACGGGTAGAGTTGGGGTGTTGCTTGGCTGGTCGGAGGAAGTTGCCCAATTTATAACAAAGTTGTCATTCTGTCAACAGGGAAATAAGACATTTTTAAGAATTCAGGATAGTCAGTTGGAAAACAATTTATAACAAAGTTGTCATTCTGTCAACAGGGAAATAAGACATTTTTTTTAAGAATTCGGGATAGTCAGTTGGAAAACAATTTATAACAAAGTTGTCATTCTGTCAACAGGGAAATAAGACATTTTTTAAGAATTCGGGATAGTCAGTTGGAAAACAAATTATAACAAAGTTGTCATTCTGTCAACAGGGAAATAAGACATTTTTAAGAATTCAGGATAGTCAGTTGGAAAACAAATTATAACAAAGTTATCATTTTGATAGGAATAAAAATAATAATTAACAGACAATAATAACAAAAGAACAACAATTCTGGGCGACGCTGCGAGGAATTACTAGGGGATATTGTCGACGCTCAAAACTTAAGGGGAGGGCGAGACGATGTACAATCAGACAGTTACTGATTCCGTTGGAATTGGAACACTTCGTTTGCTGCTGAAGATGGGGACCGAGCGCTTATGGGAGTGTCCCGAGTGCTATGATGTTGATTCTTAATTCAACAAAACAGTGTTTAAATTTGTACATAACAAAATGAGGTCACATGAAAAAAAAAAAAAACTGCATTTGTAGATATATATTATATGTTAGAGGTTTGAAGGTCTGAGGTTTGAACAACGGATCAACATCAGGAAAGAGTTTTTGTGTGTGGTTTTTTTTTTTTTTTTCAGTAGATTACAATCTTCAGGCTGCACTCACGGTGGGAAAACATTCCTCGTTATTGTCGACATTCAGGAGCCTCTCTTGGCAGTGGTGAAACGTCGCACGTGGTGAGACATGATTCAGTTGTACTTCAAGGTAGTGGGGGAAAAGGAGAGAGTGGGGGTGGTAGTCGAAGAAGAGGAGAACAAAGAAGAACCTGAAATGACAATATCAAGAAATGGAGAGGACTAAGTTATCATTCACTTATTTATGAAGCGGGGGAGGCAGCGGGTCAGTCTATGATGTGTATGTGTACGTTTCATGCTTATTCCTTTTAACATTAAGGCGCATCCATGCTTTCATGTGTAAGGTATAATCTATTACATTCCTACAAGGACACCAAATAATATTGTTTGTTGACGCAGAAAAAAATGTGTTTTGTGATGAAAAATCCAAACAAGCAAGGCCGGATATAGGCTTGATCAGGCCCTCAGATATATACAGCTTTGGTATTTCCTGTAGTTTTAAATTTCATCAGGTAATCTCAGAAAACTTAAATATATACGCCTTTTAAATACGCTGATGGTGAAAATATATGTCATTTAATATTTAGTAAAATTTAGCAATAATGAAGCTGCCCGCAATTTATCACATAAATAATACTGTATAATCCGCTCAAAGACTGCATTTAAATAAGATTGCATTTGTGAACCCACAGAATTTTTTTTTTTTTTTGTAGGCTCCGTTAGGACGCGAACCCACGACCTTCTGATACGCAGGCTACACCACGGCGACGCCCGATAGAAAGATAACACCAGAGAAATTGAACAATAGTACAGTGTGTCTGTCGGCTCTGTGGCTAAGTCGATGCGAACGCTTCGTAGTGGCAGGATGCCGGGTTAGATCCCAGCTGCGGGCCATGCACCTTGCGTTGGTTTCGACAGTGGTATCAAGAAAGCCGACCGTCCAGGGGCAATGGCAAACTACTGGCCGTAAATATGCCTAGAAAAACCACACAACGGCTAGGAGCTGTTGGGGTTGGTTCTGCAACGCCCTGTAAAGGATACGCAACTAACTAACAGTGTATCTATGAGTGAGGCCGGTCGGAAGAACAAGAATCGGAAACGTTGTTATCTCTCTCGATACCATATGCCTTATAAGAGGAAATTACCAGGATTGCTAAATATATGCACAATAATTAAAATATGTACTTAGTGTCTCAATTCGGCTTTCGAACACATGACCGTATATCCAGTCATCTCCTTGTGAGATGCAATTTTTCGTTATTTGAAGCCCTACTCTGGCTCTTGCCATATGCTGCAATATAGCCCGACCATAAATATGGTCTAATGGCTGAACGCGGTTTCTGGGACCTCTCCACGGTGATCCTCATCCGTATGGTGGTACTTTGTGTCATCTGGTGTTTATCGCTTAGGTCATGTTCTAGTGGGGTAAAAAGTCAGTCAGTCATAACCGTCGGGTCGGAATATGACTTAAATATTTACTTAAACAGTTCGCCCTTTCAAATGACGAAAACTGTCTTCACGGGGGTTTAACAGGATATAACCTTGGCAAGATAAACAAAAGTACTTGTAGCTTTCGAGGATTTGTGATAGAAATTTGCACAAGCGAGCATCAATAATGACACAATCAAGCATTAATCACCGGCAGTTTCAACAGCTGTCGCCACTCTAATCTGAGTTGCATATATTTAAAAGAAAGCCTCGATGCGGATTCAAGGTTATTTGCGTATCTTTTACGGGACGTTGCAGAACCAACACCAACAGCCCCTGGCTGTTTTCTGTTTTTGTTTTTTCCTAGGCAAATCTGCAACCAGTTGTTTTCCATTGCCCTCTGGACGGTCGGCTTTCTTGATAAAACTGTCGAAACCAACGCAAGGCGCATGGCCCGCATCTGGGATCGAATCCGACACCACGGCATTACGAACAGGGCTGCCAATGCTGATTTTCACCCCAGATCTGGGTTTTTATTTGACGCCTTGGGTAAATCTGTTTTTTTTTGTTTGTTAAATATCATCATCATCATCAGGTGCCTTGCCGACTGGCGTGGGCGATCATGCCTCTCCATAATCCGCGATCTCCTGCAACATGTATCAGTTCGTGTGCCGACACACCTCCTTGCCATGCAACAAGACTGTCAAGCATCTTCTCTCGTTGTCTTCCTCTATCCCTCCTTCCTCAGATCTTTCCAGTGGTCACAACATGTTCTATTTTCCCTCTTCTCATAACATGGCCGAAAAATGATGACTGTCTCCTTCTGATGTCAGTGATAAGTTGTCTTCGGGCTCCCGCCTCTTTTAAAACCTCTTGGTTGCTCTTTTTGGCTGTCCAAGGTATTCTAAGCATTCTTCTGTAAAACCACATCTCTGAGGCCTTTAAAAATTGTTTGGCCTGCCTACCGATTGTCCAGGATTCACATCCATATGTTAAAACTGGATGTATATAGCAAGCAAGAATTCTTTTTCTAACTCTCAACGACAAGGATGTTTTTCATTTGATAAAATGCAGTTTTTGCCTGTCCAATTCTGTTTCTTATTTCAGTTATGCATCTTCCATCTGATGTTATCCATGTGCCCAGATACTTAAATTTCTGTACTTGTCTTAAAATAACACCATTGACTTTTATTACACATTTAGGAATACATTTTTAATATATCGTTACATAAAAGTGGTAAACGTAACTATAAATTTTGCACATTTTAACAATCTGGGTTTTTTATTTTGTTCTTTGTCTATGTATTGCTTGGGTTTTTGTTTGGCGAAGCTGGGTAAAAAAAAAAAATAATCCCATTGGCAGCCCTGAGAAGCGTTCGCATCGACGTAGCCACAGAGCCGATCGATGCGGATTAGAAAGCAAGAAATTAAGGTCGAAAGGCATGCGTATACTTCCTGAACTATCAAGGCTTCCCATTCGAAAGTAGTACTTTTATAATCTATACAGCCTTGAATGGCTGATGATGATACTTTTGGTATAGTTTTCTCACCTCAGTTTATGTGCATCTACTTTTTATTTTTAGTTTATAAATATTTTAGAATCTGAACACTAGCTGTGCATCTTAAATATGAAAACCTATTGTATGTGAAATATAGCTTAGAGAATGTCTGTTGGTTGGTCTCTGGGGCATTTTAACTACTTGTATTTGCTACTCACAGAAACCTCTTCAAGTCCCACAAGTTTGAGGTTTTAGGTTTAAACAACGGATCAACCTCATGGCACACGGGTAGTAACCCATTAGTGCTTCGTTCTTTCTTCTCAAGTCCGAAGAAGCTCAGCACAGTGCACAGGCTCTAGCACTCGAGGCGGAAACCGTGCCTCGAGACCACGCAGGTGTTCCCCCCCCCCCCCCAACTCCCACCCCCTAGGTCCCAGAAATGAGATACCTGAGAATAGTGATCTAAATCACAAGAAGGAACAAAGTTTGCAATCAGACAATAAGTCAGGATCTTGAAATCCTGGTCTCACAAACTCGAGTGGATCAGTGACAGTTACGAGGGTTCGGACATGTATGCAGAATGGGAAAGAATCGGCCATCACGGCAGGCCAAGAACCAAAGGACCAGCCAATCAGGACGACACAGGGTTCGCTGGGAAGACAACATCCGAAAGACCCTGACGGACAGAGACCTGGAATGGGACAATCATCCTCATCAAGTGCCTTGCCTGCTGGCGTAGGCATTCATGCATCCTAACAATTCTCGGTCTTTGGTGTTCTGGATCAATTTCACTGATGATTTTCTTCTATGCCCTTGTCTTAAGCCATCCATCATCTTTATCTTGGTCTGCCTCTGCCTCTTCTCCTGGAGATATTTCCAGTCGCCACGATAGTTTCCAGTCCTTCTTTAACTCATCACACGACAAAAGAACATTGTATGTCTCATTCTAATTGTTATATATAATGTTCCACTTGCATTAGCCGTTCCCAGACAATAATTGGCAGTCCTATGTATTCGCAACATTATTTTCAAGAACCTCATCTCAGTTGCCTCCAAACTCTTCTTAATTTGTTTGCTTAATGCCCCAAAGAAAACTACTGATAGAGAAGTCTGGCGATCTCTCTGGCAAACCTCTACACCCTAAGGTAGAAGAGAATCGACTAAGTATGTATGTAAGATAACCTACCATCAACATTTTGTCACATAGCATACTGTTGAATGTATGCGAAGAGACACACTGCTTGTGGCTGTCTTATAACTCAAAGCAAAGTCGGGAATAATACAACAGGTAGAAAAAAAAAAAAAAAAACCAGATTCAACTTGCGCCATATCTGATTAGGGATACATAGCGGACAAGAGAGTCTCTACGCCAGTATGAGTCTTACTGTTATGAGAATGTGGAATGTTTAATTAAGAATCGACGTAACAGCACTCTGGACACTCACACAAGTGCTCAGTCCCCATCCTCAGCAGCAAGCGAAGAGTTCAGATTCCGATGGTACCAGTAACCGTCTGATTGTATATCCGTCTCATCCTTCTCCTGAGTGTTGAGCGTCGGCCAAATCCCCCGGTAACTCATCGCAGCGCCTTTCTCCTTAGATACTGTATGAGAGCATCAACCATCTCTTTGGTTACGGTAGTCGTGTGTTAAAAGTGTTACATATGACTTTTCTAGGCCATGACATAAAGATACAGGGTGGCTGAATCCCTTTCTCGTTGTCGACAGTTCCCTGAAAACTGCCAGAAAATTCCGAGAAGTTTCTTCTCTCCATTTCACGAGGCTTGGCCTGCCTCTGAAAGGTGCTCGGACCAAATAACTTTACTACTCAGGGATGCCAGAACACAAGGGCTTAGGCACACTGCGCCTACCATTTACATAAAATTCGAGCATTCTTCTTATTATTACTAATTACCTGGAGATTAACCATTCTCGGTCTGTATGGAGATTAGCCACTATGGGTCAGTGTGGAGATTAACCACCAAGGGTCTGTGTGGAGATTAACCAAAAAGAGTCTGTGTGGAGATTAACCACTATGGGTCTGTGTGGAGATTAAACACTATGGGTCTGTGTGGAGATTAACCACTATGGGTCTGTGTGGAGATTAACCACCAAGGGTCTGTGTGGAGATTAACCACCAAGGGTCTGTGTGGAAATTAACCACCATGGGTCTGTATAGAGATTACCCACCAAGGGTCTGTGTGGAGATTAACCACTATGAGTCTGTGTGGAGATTAACCACTATGGGTCTGTGTGGAGATTAACCACTATGGTCCTCAGTAAAGATTAACCACTATGAGTCTGTGTAAAGATTGACCACTATGGACCTATATAAAGATTAACCACTATGAGTCTGTGTAAAGATTGACCACTATGGACCTATATAAAGATTAACCACTATGAGTCTGTGTAAAGATTGACCACTATGAACCTATATAAAAATTAACAACTATGAGTCTGTGTGAAGATTGACCACTATGGACCTATATAAAGATATACCACTATGAGTCTATGTAGAGATTGACCACTATGGACCTATATAAAGATTAACCACTCTGAGTCTGTGTAAAGATTGACCACTATGGACCTATATAAAGATTAACCACTATGAGTCTGTGTAAAGATTGACCACTATGGACCTATATAAAAATTAACAACTATGAGTCTGTGTGAAGATTGACTACTATGAACCTATGTAAAGATATACCACTATGAGTCTATGTAGAGATTGACCACTATGTGTCTGTGTAGAGATTGACCACTATGGACCTATGTAAAGATTAACCACTATGAGTCTGTGTAGAGATTGACCACTATGAGTCTGTGTAGAGATTGACCACTATGGACCTATGTAAAGATAACCACTATAATTCTGTGTAGAGATTGACCACTATGGACCTATGTAAAGATTAACCACTATGAGTTGTGTAGAGATTGACCGCTGTGGACCTATGTAAAGATTAACCACTGAGTCTGTGTAGAGATTGACCACTATGGACCTATGTAAAGATTAACCACTATGAGTCTGTGTAGAGATTGACCACTATGAGTCTGTGTGAAGACTAACCAGTGTGGGTCTGTTGATTCCTTCTGCATGAAACATAATGCACACTATTTCACTCCGTAAAACTCATATCAACACAGTGTTACATGAGAGGACTTACATACCTTGATTAACATAAGATCTGGTGTTTTTAGACTTGTGACTAGAATTCTGGAATTCTCCTTTAAAAGCAGCCATTGATCGGCTAGTTCCGTTTGCCGTCTGGCCTTAACTCTAAAGGTGAACTGAGATGTCAAGGTCTCGACTACTTGTGGCCCGTTGACAGCTCCGATTTCAATATGGTGAACACAGGGGAAACTAGTCATGATGTGACCTGAAATACATGTGTATTAAAACAGCAGTGAGATGTGTATGTGATAACACAGTATGAGCCTTTTTATTACCAACACTTTCACAGAGATTAAAAAACAAAAGTACATGTTTCCAATTCCAAGTCCCTTTGAGAACAAATCAAAAACGCAACCAAGTTCAAGCTTCTGCTAGCTAGACGAAGATGCCAACAGTCTCCGGCTATATTTGTGGTCTTTTTTGCGCCACTTTCGTGACTAAAGTTCTGGTATTTGCTCAGTCTCTGGGCTTAATACTTCTTTCAACCATGCCAGGTCGCTATCATTTATAGTTTTAAATTTTGGAGTATTCTACTTTGCCCAAAAGTATTGAAAACAGTTTTTGGGTTTGGATTGACCCGAAATGTGAAAATATTCCACGTGTGACCATAGTGGTCTTATAGTTGTCTCCCTGCAATAAGAACGGGTTAATCATGTTATGGAGATGTTTTTTTTCCTTTTTTCGCCGGGCCAGTCTCTCCTCACTGGGAAACCACCCGGCTCTGAGTTTGAAGGCTCATGCCGTGATAATTACTCCCATGAGTTCGGGACCGATCCCAGCGCTTCTGACCAGACCAAGTGCAGCATAGCTACACTTTCATCTTAGCTATGGAGATGTGAATGAAATGTTAGGTGGAGCTTTACAGTGATTCTATCCGTCATTTTTTATAGTGTGGTCCGATTGTGTCGATTTAGATGAACGAGCGGACCAACAGGAAAGTAATGCATGGACATGGCGGATAACATCAACGCGTTGTGGATTCCACTGCTGGATAATGCCGAATGACTGAGACTAACACGATTGCATGACCTAGGAGTAAAGCTTGGTGAAGAACGTCTATGCCATCCTTGAGGTCAAGATACGACAGACTGTAACCAGCTTGTCATTAAAACAATCGATAGAGGTAATTTGTTGAAGCTGTGGCAACTCATGAGCATTTAAGGGAATGCCCAATTTGCAGTAACGTCAACTGTGATATTATAGCATGTCACAACATAAATGATGAATACGGCAGTGATTCGTGTAGTCTACACGCCTTTGTCTACTGAATAAACACTTGATGTTTCACATGAAGTTGAAATTCTATACTGCCTAAATTCCATTTGAGACTGAGTTTGTACCTGTTGACAATGCAATACCTGAAAACTCATAATATATGACAGGCTTCAATAAACCAATCAGGCGCCGTATCCGCTATCAAGGAAGGCTGTTAACTCTTTGAGTACTAGGGGGTTTAGCATCACAGGCCCAGGGGGTAGTAAAGAAAGTAATAAAACGGCGCATCATGCGTTCATTTGGGCTTCTAGGCAGGAACCTGTGAACGTACGATGCGTTACTTGGGACTCAAAGAGTTAAAGCTCTGTTTTTCGCTGAGACTGGTGTTCGTGAATCTCTTGATGTTATCCCGCATTAGTATCGCTGCCTTCTTCTTGAGCGTCCAGTAGTGTGTATATATGTTATGTATTCTCAACCTTACTGTATGACACAGAGACAAGAACAATGAACAAACAACTGGAAAATCGTATCAATTCTTTGGAGATATGGATATACAGAAGATTAGGTCGTATTTCATGGAAACAAAAGCTATCAAATACAGAGGTACTGAAGAAATTAGGAATGAAAAGAGAGCTGCTAGGTGAAATAAAAAAAAAGAGACAAGTAAAATATTTTGGTCACATTAAAAGACATAACAGTATTGTAAAGATCATCCTAGAGGGAAATGTTCAAGGTAGGCGAGCAAGAGGCAGACAGCGTTACAAGTGGGAGGATAACATCAAGAGACGGACGAACGGGAGTATGAGTGAGTGTACATCAAGGGCAAGAGACAGGGCTTGTTGAAGATCCATTGCAGCCAACCTTCATTGTGGAGACGGCATAAAGACGGAATAAAGTTCATGGCAAATTTTCGCTTCTGACAGACGGTGGCCGTTGCAGTTTCCCCCTTTTGAAGACTGAAATAATGTAATTTTGTCGCCCAGCTACTGAGTTGATTACATGGCGCGACACTGTGAGCTGCGGATTTCAGCAATGAAGTAATGGATGCTGAATTCTTGTCAAATGTAATGTAATGTAACCGCCCCCTCCCCCCCCCCCCCCATACACACCCAACAAAAAACTCACAAAGACACACCCACCCACCACACAAGCCCACCCATACACACACGCGCGTGCGCGCGCGCGCGCACACACACACACACAATGCAACTATTCCCAAAACATAGTTCGACAGCCCTTCACCTAGCTGCCAGGGTTTTTCTTCCACTACTCACCGCAAAGTTTCTATTAACACAGAGCTAAAAATAATGTCTGAAACACTACCGGCACTGCGTACCGTTACGTACCGTTACGCACCGCCCGTCCATCCCCTGTCCCTTCCCCAGGAACAAATTAGCTGTTGTTAAATGTAACAGCAAACACGCCAGTCACTACACCTAACTCCAAACATGCAGGCAAACAAGTACAAAGGTTAAAAATGATGCAATAACGTGCCTCCGGGTCAGGCAAGGAAATACTATACTCGGTGGATTAGAGGGGAAGTAATATTAAGAGTACTTTTTATTCTGCACTAATCCCTAGCTTGAACCATGGCTCCGGGTTGACAATTCATAAAACTGAGATAACACTCTCGATGTCTAGAATGTAAATTGATGGATGTCGTGATTTAAATTTGAAGAAGAGCACCATTATTAAGCCATATTTGTAACCCTAGACGCAATTAGTGTAATTAACACTTCCAACAGTATTCCTACACCCCATCCCATTCTTCCTAGTTGTGAAACACAATGGCAAGCATGCAGCATTGTAAAATTGCAACGATTAACTGTTTTAGAGGATATGGTTTGGTTCGTAAATAGCCAATTTAATTACATACGAATTTCTCCATATCTGGAGAATATTGTCCTCCGATAGACCATAGAAGGAGAATCTCGGCTCAGTGTGTGAATTCTTAGCACTGGTCAACATCCGAATGTGTGCAAACGCGACAGAATACATACTATAAGCATTATTTTTTCTTCTTTGGTATTTCGGGCCAAGAGGTTCATTGCTGCAGATTTCACCAGCACCCATTCTTCTCTCTGGTTGGCCTTCTCTTTTTAAGTTGGTGACACCAAGAGGATGTAGGTCTGTCTGGACATTAAATCTCCATCGTCTTGGTCTGCTTCGTGGTCTACGATCATTCAGCTTGCTCGTGTACACAATTTTTACCTCTCTGTGGTCTGACATTCTATCAATATGTGATTTTACTGGTGAATCTTAATTTTATGGAAATCTCTGTAGATCATGACTGGAATTACGGAATTCGCCTCTTGTACAATGCTCTCGGTAGGCAGCAAGCAGTTCTGAGGAAACAGACCGAGCTATAATGGATAACCCAGTGCAATGGAGTTGATCCTCTTGATTAACTTTGTAATAAAAATAAACCTTACACTTGGACTGATCGTATACTTTTGAGTCCGAACTGCCGGTGACGTTTAAAGGAGTCAGCGTGCCTACAGATCCTCCGAGTCTTTTTAATGTTGTCCGAGAATGCTTGGCATCCGTTCAACCTCCAGGAATCAGGTGGGAGTGTTTGTCGTTGAAATATCCATACAATCAACATTGCAGAAGAAACCATGGCTGGCTTGGCTAGAAGTATACGCTTTACTAAATATACGCTAAGTTTTTTTTTTTTAAAGAATCTTTTCCCACGCCTTCAAGAACGCACTGGACGTACAGGGATAGACCTATATTTTATAGACCAAACGGTGCTTAGTGGACGATGTAGACAGCACCACGCCGGCTGCCTTTACCTCTCAGGACTGCACCTCTACTTCTCAGGTACAGAGTCACGACTAGGTCTACCTGGGAACCAAGGTCTTTTATCATGTATTAAATCTGTGTCCACTGAGTTTGCAGCTTGGGTAGTAAACATCTGCATACTTGACTTCTGGAAGCTGCATGCTAGTCACGTCCACAGCTGTGTTGCAGTTTGTCCACAGGATAACACCTCAAAGACGAGAATACTACACGTACACATCCCAGTAAGCCCTGTCCAACTGTATGTTTATACTGGGGCCCCGACAACTACGAAGTAACTTAGGTCCGAACCAGTCACAGACAACCCCTCGTACTCACCCCCCCCCCCAAATTTTTTTAACCTAGTGCCGGACTGGACCCTATTAACCAGTGGTCACTACATTTTACGTTAAAAGGTCATAAAGACCCGGCTGTGATAAACATGTAGAGGGCAAAAATAGAGTCTCTCTGGTTGTAATAAAGAAACCAAAATTTTGTTATTTTGTGAAATTTGCTAATATTTTAGCTCACAAAAAGCACTACTTACCTAAACTAAGACCCCGTTGATGAATCCTCGAAAGGACAAACGTTTCACCCTGTAATTCACAACAAAACCCTGCTAGTGTTTGTGATTAAATAGGATGGCCCAATAACCCATAGGTCATAGACAAGAACGTTGATTGGCTGTTATTTGAAAAGGCTTCGACGAACATCCGGTTCAAGCAGACGACAGGAACTTCTCCGGGAATTAGATAGGACATGAAAATAAAAACCAAGACAGAAGTGCAGTGATTGAATAAATGACTGCATTTGCCGTGAGCAATCCGAAATTTGTCTAGATGTTGCGTAGGGGTAAACCGAGTTGTTACTGTTGCAGATCGCAAAAGATTAAGGTTTTATTTAATTGTTTATGATAAATTAATGTAAATTAATTCTGAAAATGAGATGGTGTCGATTGAGGTGATGATTTTGGCTTAGCCTACATTTGTAACTTTTGAATACAGACTAGTGAGCGATGTCAACGAACTGTTGCTTTTGTTAAAGGTATTTAGCATGAGATTTTAAAGTGTTTGAAGTAAGTAAATTCACCATGGGGGAAAACTCACACCAGAGCAGCTTAGTTATGAAGTTTAAGTGTTGCGAGGTGCAACATTTTCTTTTCTGTCTCATGCATCCAGACTTAAATTATTTAGTATCTTGT